CAAAAGGCAAAATGCACAAGACTTCATCTTGCACAAAAAAAGAATGTGAGGCATAAATAGCATATTACGTGGAATAATTCTCACAACCCAGAGTTGAATGCCATTTCTACCAACCCTCCCTTTCATTCATTGCTATTTTACCACCTTTGAACTTAATGTTAAATATCCCCAGTAATAAGATTCAGGTCATGCTATTGGCTATGTGGATTCCCTAAACAGGATGTGATGTGGCCTCGAAATTCAAATCAAGTGGGTGTTTCTCTTAAATCTTGCCTAGAGAATAGAACAGATTGTGAGATCTATTTAAGTCATTTTAGATGAATTTGGTTTGATGAGTAGCTCTTTTTTATGCCCTTTTAACTTTAAAAGTCATCTCTCAGCAAATCTTGGTCCCTAGTTTTATTTCTACCATTGAAGGAGGGAATCAAAGAAGAATCCTTCCAGGTTGTGACCTAAATGTTCTGTCATAGGAATACTGTTTTAGAAACCCGTATTCCATATGGGACATGGTTACATGTTCCCTGCAAGGACTATCACCACCAAAATAAGCTTTTGATTTCATTCTTAAATCCTTCTGAAAAGCACACTTTTCTGCCACTCCTGTTTCTGAAGTTAGTGGGTCACAAGGGAGACATTTACACTTGAATTCCTTTGCACAGGAGCTGGAAGATTTGGGTTCCAATTCTGGGTCAGCCATGGACTGTGTGATTTCAAGCTTGCCTATGACTTTTTTTCACACTGTGTAATCATAAGTACTTCACCTAATCTTTGGGCCGCTGTTGCCCTGATCTGTATAGTGAGTGATTGCTATAGTTCCTTTCAGCTCGAGGCTATTCTTTACCTAAGTACTCTAAAAACTTTAGTATATTTCCTGAGAGCATTTTTTAAAATGTAAAGAATATATACACATAAAGCAAAGTAAAAGGCAATGTGATTGGTAATAAGGTATCTTAATTTACACTTATGAGAAGAAGAAAAACAATGACTGCTTCTGGATTTTGCTGGAAGTGACAAGTTCTTTGGCTTAATGTAACTACAGGCAAGTGCAAACTGAGGAGTACTGTCTCTACTAAGGAAGCAGAGGAAAGAAATACAGGGGAGGACCCCCCAAAAACCGGAATTATCTTTTGGAGGGTGGGTTTCTTGTAATACAGGCTTCCCCCACTAGGCAAGTGTTCTAGGAACCCATTGCCATCAGTATACCAGCTGGCGTTGTTGTGAGAGGCTGCATTCAGCTTCAGTGAATGTTTTTTGGAGATTCTTTCAATGCATTTGCCCATTTTATGATGGGTGATTTACAAGGGCAGAGGCCCATATTGTGTTGAGTGTTCAGCAGTTTTTGAGGAAAACCAGCATGACCCCCATGCCCTACTCTCCCTATTCAATTGATCTTGCCTCAAGCAACTTTCTTTTGTTTCCCTGGATGAAAAAAGTCCTCAAAGGGAAACATTTTGCTGATGTAGAAGAGGTGAAACAAAAAATGGCAGAAGCACTAAAGGCATCAAAATTGACGAGTTCAAAAAATGTTTTGAGCAGTGGAAAAAGCGTCTTGATAGGTGTATTGCACCAAATGGAGGATACTTTAAAGGTGACCGAAGTTTAAACATATAAGAATAAATACATATTTTTTAATAAACAAATTCTGAGTTTTGGGGGGGTGCCCCCTCATATGATGTTATTTTTTCCTTGCTGGTTAAGAATTCCGGATGGGCTGGGTGAGGTGTCTCACACCTGTAATCCCAGCAGTTTGGGAGGCAGAGGCAAGAGGATTGCCTGAGCCCCTGGGTTTGAGACCAGCCTGGGCAACTTGGCGAGATCTTGTCTCTACAATTTAAAAAAAAAAAAAGTAATTGGGCATGGTGGCACATGCCTGTGGTTCCAGCTACTTGGAAGGCTAAGGTGGAAGGATCACCTGAGCCCAGCAGGTCGACACCATGGTGGCCATGAGCATGCCACTGCACTCCAGCCTGGCTGACAGTGAGATTTCAACTCAAAAAAAAAAGAACAACTAGGATTAATTCTTGAAGAAGGAAGGCGTACTTGCAACATTGGTTGTGTCTGAACTCCCACCAGACTCAAAATTCCTCAAATCTGTTTCCTTTACACTATACCCCAAAAGAAACCAAGGCTATGAGGCATATTGTAAGGAGAGAACCAATATCTTACGAAATACTTCCATCCTAATCTTCTCTACCATGACTTCCAGGGACACACGCTAATTTGCAAAATAAGAAATTTTTTTATAGGATAAACATTAACACTGACGTAAAATGAAAAACAACAATAACTCTTGTTAATATTAATAGCCGTCTTCAACATTAGTCTTACTATCTAGCCTTCAAAAAAGAAAATAAATAACCATGTCAATGCACACAAAACCTGCAAGATATTCCTGACCACTTGAAGTCTTGGCTCTAATCTAAATGCTCTTGGACACTCCAAGCAAAAAATGCCCAGGAACTATTTTGCCAGGGTTTGGGGCACTCAGTTTTCCTTAGCAGAACCCAAGATTGCTCTCTTCTTGACTAAGATTTTTCTTTTAACACTCACTGGTTTTTGAGACAATTATTTCTCAAGCAAGCTGATATTCAATCAGGCTGGGAGCTAGGTGATGCAGGGGTTGAGTCTCACTCTGTCATCATGGACCCCAAAGCCTAACAGACCTTTTTGTACAGTGTGACAGTCTGGATAGACCACAAAATTAACGTTTGTCTACCAGGCTTAGGAGGATAAAACAATGCCCTGTATTTGGTCCCCACCATCCGAATAGCTGGGACTGTGTCCTCTAATCCATGCTCAGTGCATGCTGGGCAGCCAATTAATCTCTCTGCAATTTGAAGTTCCACTCTCCAGAGAGGGCACAGTGAGGACCCCAGTCAGATTTGTCAGTCCCTTCCCTCCTTCTACCATTCAAAGATAACCATGACCTTGACTTATCGCACAGAGAGATGTCTTCCTAAATCATCAATCTTGTGTGGGGTTTCAAAAGTTCTAGCCCTGACATAACACCATTTCACAATGAATTCCATAAATGAATTTTTATTCTTTCAACTAAAAAAAAAAAAAAATGGGGGGGAGAGAAAGACATGTTTTTAGTTTTGTTTTGTTTTGAGGAAGGGATTTTTCTTCTCCAAAGGGGGGAGGAAAAAAGATATCCTTTCCATTTCTGTTCTCCCCTCCTCCCCCAGAAAAACCCCACTTCTAGAGATGCTCATTTATTTATAGACTGACCCTAAGAAGAAATAAGTAGGGAGTGGAGACACACACCCAAAGTAAAAATGTAGTGACCACCAAGTGCAATTACTGGGGACAAAGTTATCTCAAAACCCAGGATTGATTGTTTTGTTTCAAATCGGGCCTCCCTTTAGAAGTGGTGTCATTCTTTCTAGGCACCACCAAGGAACTTAGCACATTTAGGGAGGATGCTGTCCCAGAATCCTTTGTAGTCTTAGGTTTCAACAACACAGAGGCAGAGCATGGTGCAGGGAGAAGGAGATAACTTCCTGTCTGGAAATTCCATTCTCACCTAAGTGAGAGGAACACTCAAAATTTATCAAAGTCACTGGTACAATCAGGTTATATGTCATGGAGAAGCCACAGGGGAAAGGAAATGGCAAGGAGGGACCCTTGTTTTAAACTCCCTTCTGCAGTGTGCACAGCTGTTGGTAGAAAGAGACAATTTTGTATGCCTTTACCAAAGGACATCCTTGGTCTGTGTGTGTAACCCACTGGTATGTCTGTGAGCATTTACGGCTTGTGTGCTAACACAGGAAACGACATTCCTTTTGATCAGTTAAATAGAGTTCAGTTGATTTAGCTCTGGACTAGAAACCAGAAAACCTGGCTTCTCTACTTTCCCTCTTGCTGGTGTGGCCTCCAGCAAGCCGCTAACCTTGGTGAGTCCCGTCCCCTCAGTCATAGAGTGGAAGCCATGAGTTCTGTCCAGACAAGGATCAGATGAAGTAATACACGCGAAAGCACTGTATAAAGTATAAGGTGGTATATGACTGTAGGGAGTCATTATTTATGCTGAATAAGCAGGAAAGAATCCAGGTGCCAATTATTTTGCTATCTTTTCACTAAGCTAGGTAATCTAGCCAGAGGGTGAGTAGGTAAGATTTTCCCCACTTAGGTTCACAGCCAATATGTAAATCTATAATACACAGGTGTCTGAGCTCTATTATTTATAAGCCTATTTTAATATGTTATATTGTTTCTAATGCTCTTCTGGATCGCCAAACAGTAGACAACAACACACTGAGAAAAGTTCTTCCCAAATTAACTGGGCCAGAAGGAATTTTTATCACCTGTTTGTACACCTAACTTATTTGTGGTGCTAATTTAGAAGGAATAGAGCACAGCCTAGATCTATTTTGATGTGAACTTCTTTCTTCCTATAATTTTCCCCCTATAAAATCTGCCCCAAATTTCCCGATGTAAGTACTAAAGAAGTTTGATGTTTGTTTGTTTGTCTGCATTAAGATATTTGCTGAAGGTCGGGAAGCCTCATATTAGAATATTTAATAAGCAACTACTGACATTTATCACCTTTGTTAGGATTTACCACTCACCCAGTGACGTTATCTTTCTTGAGCTAAATTAAAAGACAAATTCAAATCCTGCATGGTAGCCACCAAAAAGCATATATTTGAAAAACAGGATTCAGCGTGCCACATTATGCATTATTTAATGGTATGCAAATTATAAGTCAGACAGTTAGGAAAACCACACTTCAGCATTAATAAACAGCAACACCACTACTACATTAATTATGATATTGCTATGATTTATTCCCAAGCTTTGCATTTTGGTTCTCCTTGAAAATTTATGCCATTTGATAAGCAGTAACCTATTTCCCCTCCCACATCTCCACCCACTCCTCAAATCTGTTCCTCCTACACCCGATGGGTGTCTGTAGGAAACTGGTACAGAAATACAAAGTCATAAGCAGCTGCATTGTCGTATACGCATTAAAAATTAAAGAACAAGCAAACACCACCTAAAGCTCCAACGTTTATTGTGTCAATGTTAAGCACACTTTTTAAAAGACAACATAGAATGTATAGAAACAAGGGGCTGGGGACTCATGCTCATTTCCACAATACGGGTAATTAGGTTGGCTGGTTTCAAAAGGGCCAGGACTTCACTCAGGACGGCGGTGGTCCATGGGCCCTCTCTATGGGACTGATTCGCTGTTCCAATGTGGGTCTGTTTTTTTGTTTTTAATTTTTATTAAAAAATATAAATAAAATGGCACTGCAGGCCCAGGCTGGAAGGACTCTGCAGGACTCTGTCTTCGCACAACGGCTTCTTGGAGGCTACTGTCAGAAAACATCACAAACTAGCAGGATGACAGACCACGCTGACGTCGACTGGGCGGCACACGTCCACCCCGCCCCTGGGGGCTTCAAATTTTCTCAGAACTTAAGGGCTCTCGAGCTTCCATCCGAAAACTGCCACACATCTTGAGCTCTCTGGGTACTACGCCGAATGGGGGTGTGTGAAGAACCTAGAAAGAGGTTGGAGACAGAGGAGGGGAAAAAAAAAGTACAGGTGTGACTTGGCCCAGTGATTTGCTGTTCTCTAACTAGCTTCTTAACATTAGATCTTAAACCAACCACAGGTTGAGCCACTGGCATCTTAAGCGTGATTTCAGACTCGGTCTCCCCTCCCCAAATATCTCTGACCTCTGAGTGGTTTTCCCACGCCTCCCTCCCGTCCGTCCCCCGGAGGACCTAGACCTCCCCATCATATGACAGTCCTAATAAACTCGGGACACACCTGGAAGGAAACACTTTCCCTTATGACTGAGAAAACTTAGTAAGAAACAGTCCTTTGGTTTAGGAGAGCGGGAGAGGGAAGAAGGAAGGGGGACATCTTCTCAAAATAATAATAAAATTATAAAGAAACAAAAAATCAAAACTGATGTAAAAGCAGCACAACGAAAACATGAAATGTCATCAAGTTCAACGTCAAAGCAGCCAACGATTTACAAGAGGCGAACAAGTCTCTGAAGAGAAAACCAGAACCCAAAATAGTTGCTCTCAAATTGCACCAAAAACTGCCTGGAGTTTCTTTCAAACATGCAGTTTTCTTTTCTTTTCTTTTTCTTTCTTTTTTTTTTTTGTAAAGGGGAAGGCAATGGTGAAGGGAAGAGGGAGTGGTTATTTTCCTCCGGGGTTCCTCCCTTGCTGTGGACATTGACTTGAAGCAGCAGAACTGGGAGTCCGGATGTGCTGAGGAAGAGGGCTACCACTGTGGCATTCCAGACCTCGTTGCCATGGTGACCAGAAGCAGGGGCCTGGGGCCTCCTCTCCCCTGACTTGGCGCCGCAGGAGGCCCAGGGTCTGGAGCTCAGCTGCTCTCACGCATCCCCCCCTGGGCTGAGGGGCATGCTGTGTCCAGGTGGGCTCTGGGGAATCCCATTCCCAGTCCAGCGCTAAGTCACTGTTGTTGAGGCCCCGTGAGGTAATACCCCAATCAAACCTCTTTGTCCGACCCGCTACCAATATTTAATCCTAACAGACAAAGTGTATCACGGGCATGTACCATGTTCATGTTTATTTAAAAGCACAGGCCCCCTATGGGTTTGGGGCTCCTGTTTACTGGATACTTGGGGAAATTGCTTAATTTGCCTTTTCTGCTGTCTCTTGGAAAGACCTGATCCATGTGCTTCCTTTAAATAGTTTTTGCCACTTTACAGAAAGGAAAAACAGTATTTGGATCAACCATTGAGCTGCATTCAGCCCAGTTTAGGCTCTTAAGTACAATAACCCGTGTGAACTGTATCAGTCTCCTCTCCCATTTGGAAAGGAGGAATTAATTTTATCCCGTGACCGTAGATGACACTGGGAAACAGAGAGAGAGAGAGAAACAGGCCCATCCCCCTGAAGGCTGATTCACTGGCCATGTGCTGTAGTAAATGAAACAGCGGGCTAATGGGGTAACGAGATGCCAGCAAGCAAAAGTGCATCCCCAACAACCCATGTCCACGGTTTGGAGCTAGAGCAGCCCTGGAATAAATGTACATAATCCCAATTTCATCTATGTTTCTGACGTCCATTTCTCTAGAAACGGGTTCATTTATTCTCAAATGGCAAAGCTGCAGGGGCTTGGAGACACCTAGGAAAATCTGCTAAATGGCTCCGTGCCTTTAAAAAAAGTTAGCAGTCTTTTAAGAAACATTTTTCCAAGCAAGTTGAAAGAACACTGCCAATCCCATCCTCATACCGGCAAAATTCCCACGATTTTTTTTTTTTAATGGGAAGTTGTCTGAGAAAAGAGAATGGGATAGGTACATTCCTGAACACACCAGGCCCAGGGACAATGGAATAACAGAATCATAATGAAGAACACACAATTACAACACAGTCATAAGAAATAACGTTTGTGTTTACAGAGGGGGGAAAGAGGCTTCAAAAAGGAAAACACTGTATTTCCTCCCTCGGTCTTTGTGAGTAAAGGGCCACAAGCAGGACCGGATGGGGCCTGAGGCTTCTCAACTCCTTTGCAGGAAGGCCCGAAATAATCCCAGTACCTTTCAGCAAACTGTTAGTGTCTGTGAATAAAGCAGCCCATTTCCTTATTTCTCCAATTGAAATGATATCTAGCCCACCCCCCCCCCACTTCCTTTCAAATTCTCACTTCAGGCATTATGAACATATACAATATGTACTTATTGCATATACAAAAATGGTATTTAAATAAACAGTTCTACATCCACAGAATGTCCTGAGAAAAACTCAACTACTTCACACTTCCTGCCATGGCTGGCACAAATGAAGAACTGTGTTCTCCTCACTTCTTAGCAACCTTTAAAATGTGTTGGTTCCAGCCCTTTTGATGGTCCTGAACAGAGGATAGCAAATGGTCTCAGGAGAAGGTAGGATATGCACAGGAAGAGTTTCTGGGTCAAAATCTGTGAGAAATCGTATTTGCTGTATTCCTGTTTGTTAAGTTGTTCTCAAAATGAAGATGAAACGGAACATTTTAAGCATCAGGAGTTCAGGTATGTAGAGAACATTCCATCAGCACATCAAGAGTGTTACAAAAACTTGATTGAGAATTTTAAGAGCTATTCATATTCTTAGCATTTCCTCATTTAAAAAAATAGATCATGAATTCCGCTTGTGGGAAATTTGTGTTGATGTTATTTTACACTAAGATTTTAAATTTTAGAGTTCCAGATACAAAATGTCATTTATAAGTTACACTCGTGTTGGCTAGGTTTTCAGGTTTCTATTGTTCACTCAGCTTCAGAAATAATATTTTATCAGAAGGCTTCAATAAGTCAGGAGACTAAGTAACCTGAAGGACCTGTCTCCTAATAAATTTATTTAACTTTGGGACCATGTAAATCAAACATAATCTGTGATTTATCACTAGATGCTTGCACTCCTTCCCCATTCCCCATTTGATTTAAGAAATTTGAACAGAGAAGTATACAGTATCCACCATTAATTCTGTCTGTCAGGATGCAAAACCCAATTACACTAAGAGCATCACACACTGAGAAATTAAAATGAAACCTGTATATAAAGCCTACATAGCTGCACTCGTAGCGCCTAATAAAAGAGTGATAGGGACACACAGAATTTTTTATGAACATTTAATATGGTGGAGCAGAAGTCATCACATCTAAAGCTGACATGGCACCTGGGGATATTTCTATCTGTTTTGAGATGCATTTTGAATTCAGTTTTGAAGTAACCTAACTTGAAACACATACGGTACATCTTATCTTGACTCAGTTCACCGACAAACACCAAGTTCTCCAAGGTCCCCCAGCCCAGCTCCTGGGAATGTTCTCCAAAATCCTCTCAGTGGATCTGCTCCACTCTCTGCTTCCTGCCTAAACCGACTTTTTAAAAAATATGTCTACTTTCTCTCTACTTTAGAAAGATAAAACTATTCTTGCCTCAGATAAAAGGCATTACATGAAAAGGCCACCGCACAGGCACTAGGGGCATAAGACCTGAGCAACAAAAAAATGCTACCACAAGAAGACGACAGAACGGCTCTTGTTTTGGTTTTACAAAAATAAGAACAATGTTGTAGCCATCCATCTACACTGGGAACAGGGAGACAATATCACAGAAGTATGTGTTTTTATAAGCAAATATATGCTGCAACATGCAGTATTTGTAAAACTCACAACACAGATGTCTAGAGAGGTTTGTTTGTTTGTTTTTAATAGATCTAACTTACTTTCCAAAGACATTTCACAAATCTGGTGGTTGGTCAAAAGAGAATTGAAGGGTACTCCCACCCTCCTTTGTTGTCAACCAGGAAGACCCTATGAAAACACCTAAAACAATCTTTATTATCTAGGGTCACTGGGATCTCAAAACCACAAGGCAAACCACCATGCTATCTCAGAAATCAGTGGCTGATTCCAAAGACTTTGCTATGTCTGGCTAACCCCCGAGTTCTGTTTTCTCTTTTTTCTCTCTTTTTTTAAATCTGGTACTTTTATTTCTGGATTTTGAGATTTGAGAAGTGGGGTTATTTTTGTTATGATACCTTTTAAGAGTACAAGCAACAGTTTCTTATGTGTAAACTAAAAAGCTGATTTTTTTAAAGAGTTGTTTTTTAAAAACAAAACCTTTTAACATTATGTTCTAAGATAAAGCAAGGATGGGAGAACAGAAAAGAACTTTTAGACAACAAGAACAGCAAAAAATTCAAAGGAAATAAAAGTTTAAGATGCTATTACCAGCAAGTTTTTCGCTTATATTTGAATGAATTTCTGCTAAGAGAGCGAAAGTTTTTAACATCAGACTGAAAACACCTTCCATTTCTTGAAAGTTATTCTAGAACTGTAAAGTCTAAAAACTATTTCCATGGCTTGAGATATGTCTATTTTAATATAGTAAGTATTTTATGTTCCTGTAGGGTATAATACACGCATCAAAATGCCCATAGAAATAATCCTGAAAAAGACTGACTGGCCTTCTCTTAAAACCTGTTATTCTCTTGAAAGTAATTTACAGAGTGTGTCAAATGAGGACACAAGAAGCTTACAATGTGTACTTTAATTTTTTTTTATTTTTTTCAATAAAGGGACAAAATGGGTGTATGAACAGGTTAATGCAGACAACTGCCAAAAAAACACAGACAGTGGTTTTTCCAATAGAACTTAACAAAGACCAGAAACAAATACAATAAAAAGCCAGGTTGTAATGACCTTTGGTCATCTAAATAAAAAAAAATAAAAAAAACAAAGAAAAATAAAAGATCAAATTAAGTGCCTCTGTTTTGAACAGGGCACATAAGCAATAATAAATAGTGACTCCCATAGTAAAAGATAAAATTTCAAGTTACGACAAACAGCTTTCATTACAGGAATAGAAAAGGCCAATAACAAAATATTCTGCATTGCCATTTACAAAAAAGTATTGACTAAAGCGGGCTTTCTCTTTAATATGCTTTGCATATGAAATTCTTTCCAATCTAAATATAAAGCACCATTTAGTTTTTGGCAATGAAAAAAACTGCAAAACATTGTTTTTTTTCTTTTTTTCTTTTTTTTTTTCTTTCTTTCTTTTACTGCATATGAAGGTAAGATGCTGGAATGTAGGGTGATAGAAGGAGAGGGACAAAAAGCACACTACATAACAAACCAACGTCATTAGCTTGCAGTACTGCATACAGTATGGCAGCAGGAAAAAGGAACAAAAAAGGATATGTACAACCCCTCTGACAGCCATCCATGTGACATTCTAGCAGGCTTCCCCAAACCGCCATTATATGGCTTCTCATCTGTAATGTCACACTTTTTTGTTTCTCTTTTTTTTTTTTTTTGAAGCATACAAATAATTTGCACTATATTATCCTGCCAAATTAAAAAAATATACTGTGGCAGCCTGTCTTTTTTTTTTTTCCACTACCAAAAAAGGTACATTGATACCTTTTAAGAGAACAAGCAACAGTTAAAAATACAAGCTTCAATATAAATACTATAGTGCCTAACACTAGATGAACATTTAATTCAAATACCATTCTAGAAATACAGAAAAAAGACCATAAATGTGTTTTAGCATAGGAATCAACATGAGTGTGCATTTTCCTATATTTAAGTACTATATAATCTTAAACCTTTCCCCAATGTATGCTTTTTTTTTTTACAACCTGAAGAGCGGTGTGTATCCAAGGCATAGAATTTCCACTATCATTTTTAAATGGATAACAAGTCTTGTAACACCACCAAGACAATGGAACCCTAAAATGCAGTTCCCCCCTAAACATAATGAAGTGTTTCTTAAAAAATTTTTTTCTTAACATTTATATTTAAAAAAGTTTTGTACAAAAAAATCCTTGCACTGTAGAAGCGAAAGCAATCATTCATTTCTATGTTAAGTGTATTCTGTTTCCATTCACAGCGCTTGCAATGTTGCGTCCAAGTACGCTCAATAGTCAAGTAAATGGCTGGCAAAGTTTTTTTTTAAGTTTTTTTAAAAAATGCTCATCAATGAGATTGTGTTCAATTTTTTTTTTTTTTTCAGCATTCTTGCAACTTTTCCCTTAAGTATAGACCTGTAAACTGGGAAAATTGTACAGTGCACTTAATTGTCCTATCTGAGCAGATTTATTTTATACTCAACCTCTGTATCTCTGATTAGAGAAAAGATACAGATATCACAGGCAGAGTCAAGTGCTATTTGAACACCAACTGGGGCAGATGCTAGCTTAATTAAAAAAAATTAAAAAAATAAAATAAAAACAATGAATCCTCTTCCATGTTAACACAAATAGCACACAGTGTATGGAAAAGAAATGAAGTACAACTTTTAGGGAGCACAGACATATATACTGCTACTCTTAAAATTCTTTCTCTTCTTTTTTTAAGAATGTCACATTTAAATGCAAGTCTTAAGAATTCATAGTTAATCATCATTGTATCAATATTAGCTTATACACCTGTTCTAGTTTAAAATGGCAAATAGTACCACGTTGTGCTAATAAATCACATTTTTTCCCTCTGTTTCCCTCTGTCAAACCTTACTGTCAGCCTCTTCCTTTCAGTATGATATACAAGGTCTTAAAGTTCATCATTTGATTGTCCATTTGACAACCAAGTGGATCTGGATCTATTTATTTTGGTGCCAGAATTTGCAAAAAGACATTATTTAAAGCAAGTATCTTCAAAAATGAACTCCTTACTAATGTATTTAATCATATTCCAGGGCTTTTGCACATTCAATTTAATCATCACTTAAAAAAAATAAAACTTTGGGCAAAACAGCCCATTTCTTTTAAGCTCTCACCAGGAGCAAAGTAACTTTATACTGGTATAATCAGTTTTGTTTACAAAATTAAACTAAAGGAAAAATGATGATTAACTAGGAGATAATGGGTCATATTTTTTTAGGTAGCCATTGTTGTGAGAAATACAATATAGAATTATATGCTAGGTCCTAAGGTTTATTACCTCACCCAATGCTGAATTAAGCTACAAGTTTATAACAAGTAGAAAGAACCATCAATGTGGTTTTAATAGATCCAAGGCACTCATATTTTAAAACCAAATGATAGAATAAACTTGTTCTGTTTTTTCTGTTAGTTTGTCAATTCAAGGCCTTTTTTTCCTCTCCAATTGATACGTTTAACCCTTTAGAGACAGACATTTAGCTCATAGAGATTTTTTTTCAGTGCTATCTATTCTGTCTATAGAGGGTTAATCCAAAGACTGTTTTTCCTCCTTACGTTATAAAATAAAACTGTACATGATATGTATTACAGAATGTATGCAGCATGGTCTTTTTCTCTCTCTCTCTCTTTTTCTCTCAGAACGGAACTGGAAACAGCAACATGTTTGCTCAGCAACGAATTAGGGACAATTTAAAATAGCCATAACATACCATACATGCTGTCTAAGTTTAAAAAAAAAACATACACAACATGTAAATTATTGCACAAGAGAAAGGCTCAAAGTTTGCGTCAAATGCAATAGTATTGCCCCATACAGATCATGCATTCAAACGGTGAGAACATAAAGGGAAAAAAAAAGAAAAAGAAAAAAGAAAAAGAAAAAAACAGGTGTGCTGGTGACAAGCACTCTCATATTCTTAGCTTCCGTTACTTCTGTTTGTTTGTTTGTTTGTTTGTTCAAATCACATGGGACTAGAAAAAAATCCTACAGGGACTGGGGCTGGAAGGCGATGGGGAAGGGGGTGGTGAAAAAGGGGGTGTCAGGTGGGAGCGAGGGAGGGGTATTAATATACCTCTATTCAGTTTTTATATCATTATTCAACACTCGATCACTGTGCCATTTTTTCATGTGTTTCTCCAGGGTACTGTACACGCTAAAAGGCATCTTACAAATTTCACATTTGTAAACGTCCTTCCCCACCTGGCCATGCGTTTTCATGTGCCTGGTGAGCTTGCTACTCTGGGCACAGGCATAGTTGCACAGCTCGCATTTATAAGGCCTTTCGCCCGTGTGGCTTCTCCTGTGGACAGTGAGATTGCTACAGTTCTTGAAGACTTTCCCACAGTACTCACAAGTGTCGCTGCGTCTGCCCTCTTTTGAGCTGGGCCTGCCCGGGCCCGGACCACTAATATGGGGCGTGCTCCCTCCACTTCCCGTGCCGCTGCGCCCCGAGATCCCTCCGTCCAGCTCCCCCGGCGGCGTGGAGAAGCGCAAGCTCCCGTTCTCCGAGGAGTGCTCCGACGAGGAGGCAAAAGGCGATTGTCTGGAGTCTCCGAAGCTAAGGAAGGGATCTTTGAGCTGCCTGGAGGCCGCGTAGCCGGCGAGCCACTGCGAGTACACGTTCTCCGTGTTGGGCATCGCGGCCGGGGGCAGGTCGAACTCCTTCTCGAGCTTGATGCGCTTAGAGAAGGGGCTCAGCGAGCTGGGGCTGCCCAGCAGCAGCTTTTTGGACAGCCCCCCCGAGGCCGACTCTCCCGGGGAGCAGCCGCGGCCGTTAACAGTGCCATCGTCTATGCGGTCCGACTCGCCGGCCACCGAGTCTTCGTCGCAAGTGTCCCTGTGGCCCTCGGCCTCGGCCAGGTGGCCGCGCTTATGCTTCTCGCCCAGGACCTGGTGGAAGGCCTCACTGAAGTGCTGCATGGAGCTGAGCACCATGCCCTGCATGACGTCGGGCAGGGCGCGGCCCTCGTCGCCCACGCCCACCACCGCGCCCCGCGAGCTGTTCTCGTGGTGGCGCGCCGCCTCCAGGCTCAGCCCGAAGCCGTAGTCCACCCTCTCGCTCTCCGTCAGCTCCTCCTCCTCCTCTTCCTCCTCTTCTTCCTCTTCCTCGTCGTCCTCCTCTTCCTCCTCGTCCCCGTTCTCCGGGATCAGGTTGGGGTCGTTCTCGCTCTTGAACTTGGCCACCACGGACTTGAGCGCGCTGCTGGCGCTGCCCACCAGGTCGCTGGTGCCGGGTTCCGGGGAGCTGGCGGTGGAGAGCCCGTCGTCGGACTTGACCGTCATGGGGGACGATTTGTGCATGTGCGTCTTCATGTGGCGCTTCAGCTTGCTGGCCTGGGTGCACGCGTGGTCGCACAGGTTGCACTTGTAGGGCTTCTCGCCCGTGTGGCTGCGCCGGTGCACCACCAGGTTGCTCTGAAATTTGAAAGTCTTGCCGCAGAACTCGCATGACTTGGACTTGACCGGGGGCTGGGAGGGAGGAGGGGCAGATTGCAGAGGAGGGAGGGGGGGCGTCGCCAGGAAGGGCGGCTGCTACCTGGCTGGAATGGTTGCAGTAACCTTTGCATAGGGCTGGGCCGGCCTGGGGACAGCGGTGGGCTAGACGTGTTCCCTGCCAGCTCTCTAAGTCTCCTAGAGAAATCCATGGCGGGAGGCTCCATAGCCATTGGATTCAACCGCAGCACCCTGTCAAAGGCACTCGGGTGATGGGTGGCCAGGGCCATCTCTTCCGCCCCCAGGCGCTCTATGCGGTGGGGGTCCAAGTGATGTCTCGGTGGTGGACTAAACAGGGGGGGAGTGGGTGGAAAGCGCCCTTCTGCCAGGCCGGAAGCCTCTCTCGATACTGATCCTGGTATTCTTAGCAGGTTAAAGGGGTTATTGTCTGCAATATGAATCCCATGGAGAGGTGGCTGGGAAGGACATTCTGCACCTAGTCCTGAAGGGATACCAACCCGCGGGGTCAGGGGACTTCCGTGTTCGCTTTCTAAGTAGATTCTTAATCCATGAGTGTTCTGTGCGTGTTGCAAGAGAAACCATGCACTGGTGAATGGCTGTTTGCAAGTTGTACATGTGTAGCTGCTGGGCTCATCTTTACCTGCAAAATAATACAACACCAACATCAGTGTTTAATCACTGAGGCGGGCATTAGCAATTGCTTATTTATGTTCCACCTCCAGTCCCAGCCTTCCCTGCCCCCACCCCTCAACCCCAAGGCCTAAACCCTCCCTGACCCACCCGTGCCTAAGTGGTGCCTGGCACATCTGAGGGTCGGTACCCAATCAATGTTTGTTCAATCTGTCTTCCTGCCAATAAACCCAGTTCTAAGTTTTATATCTCAGTTTTATATCCAGTCCCCAAAACTGAAAAATCTTGGCCAATTCAAGCTTGAGGATAATGAGCCCTGCATTCTAGGGGCCTTAGCGAAAGTCCTCTGAACTTGCCAATCTCAATAGCTATAGTTTGGGACAAGCCATTTCTTCTCTGTATGCCTGTTTCCTCCTCCATTAAGTGAGGCTTTCTGGCTTTCTAAATTCTATCGATCTGTACCATCACCCCAGGTGGCAGGTGAACTTTCTAAATGGGCAGTTATTTCATAGGGATACAAAAAAGAGAAGACCAACTCACTACAATTCTCTATGGTCCTAGAGCTACTTTTCATGTTAGCCTGAAACACAACTAATTGTTGATATTGTTACAGTGAGAAGGTATTCATGAAATACTTCCAAGAAAAAGAGACTAGCAACGTTTTCACATCCCAGCCTGGGAGGGTCAGTGAGTCCCAATTTTGGTTCCACAACACCCCAGGGGGACGGCCATTTTCACCTCGAGGAACGTTGCGAAAATCTCAAAAGAAAAACTTAATTCAGATTTAATGACTAGGCTGTGTCAAATCTTTAGAACCTGTCCCCTTTTCAAACAAATGCAAGTCTAGAGAAGTTAGGAGGAGTGGCTGGTGCCGACACAGCATCCTAGTTTAAGGAACAGTTAAAGCAGCCAGCACCATGACAGGCAGCAGGCTGAGAAATGCTACACTAGCCTCCTCATTATTTTGAGAGGCTAACAACGTGAACCAAATTATACAACATCCTGCGCCCTCGGCTGAGACTCAGCTCCAGTTGAGAAAGAAACAGAAAGATACAGTTCAGCTAGTCAACTCTTTGGCCAGTAGCCAAGCCGTCTGGAGAGGGGCCCTGCTTAAGTCACATTATTTCTCTCTTGCTGAAAAGAACCGAGAGTGGTAAATGCCACTTTGGCAAAGAGGGACTAGCTTGACTTCACAAAATCTTTCATTTGGGGAGATAGCTAAATTTTACGTGTGTGTGTGTGTGTGTGTGTGTGTGTGTGTGTAGTAACTAACCAGTCACCTGCAGCATTAAAAAGTGTACAAAGGATGAAATGATGATGGCCAAAGGACAAAGATGAGAAAAACAGATAACTTCCCAGGAATTCCAAAAAAAGTAGGGCTTAAAATATAACTGAGAAATAACAAACTTTTCTCCCTTTTAAAAGAGGGGGCCACAAGAGTTCCCTAAGCACACATCTAGTATTCATCAGTAACTTTTTAAAAAGGACAAAATTCACCATGGAGCTTTAGAGTGGGGATGAGGAGTTAATCAATTATATGATTTCTCCATTTAGCAAGCCAGAAAGAAAAGCTGGCAGGGTCTTCTCAGGAGCCCCCAAAACAAGCCAGCCTCGCTCAAGCACTTGTCTAAATAATGGACTCCTGCCCTGACCTTGTAATTTACTTTACAATGCATTTATAATCTCACTCAATATATCCCACTCCTGGGTAAATCTCTTTAACAAGATTAGACGATAAGATACCAAAATTAGGTTTCAAACATTTGTCTAATGTGAGGGGGGGGGAAAAGGCAGAAAGATTTTGAAAGAAAATGCTGACATTAGTATCACATTATCTGCCTATTTTTGTTTGCCTCCTCTCTTCAAAGGGAAATAAAAAGCTTCATTGAGAGTATTTTCATAAATTTTTTTGTTGTTGTTGAACAATGACTTGGGTCCCAAATAGACTGGAAAAGAACGATCTGGTTCCAACTACCATGGTCCTTTGCCTCCCTGGGACTCTGGGTTATTATAATACCTATTTAGCCTGACAATCTGAATTGGGGAAGTAAAAAGGAGATTTATCAGATGAAGCAAGTCCTTAACACTTTCATTACTCCAAATGCCTTAAAATCATATTATACCTTATAAAATTCTACTGAAACCCAGGACTAGACCCATAATTAGTAATGCTGGTTTCGCATGGGCCATGAATGTGGTCATTGATAAATGCTGAAGTCTGTGGCACACGGCAGTACCAAGGATCTCGTCTGTATCCTTTCACAAAGGCTCACATGAAAAAAGTCCATTTTATTTTGCTGCCCTGAGCTTCCTAAATTTTTCTTTTCAGAGCCAGTTATGTGATCATGCTACAGTATGTTAACACTGTGATGTTATCCTCCCCTCTCTCTCATACATTGGGTCAGAGAAAATGGCATTTTATCTTATAATGAGCATACAACATACAGTTTTCACTATCACATTTTAGTATTCCCATCAACTAGATATTCTAGATTATGAGGGCAGCTAGTGTAATCATAATGTCAATGAGAAGGGCTGTTACGATCGAGACTAAAGATTACATGGAAAGAGCTGCTTTGAAACTGGTAATTATTACCAGTCCACTAATAGCAAATGATGCATTACAATTTCACCATATAATCTGTATTTCACTCAGCTCATGTCGGTGTACCATATTATATTACAGTGCTCACAGATTCTAAATTCCTAAACTGCAGTCATCAATAAATGTGTTACTTGCCATAATTTGTGAAATTACTTTGTTCGTAACATCTTTGATGGTTTAGAAAGACCAGAATTGATTTCCTCCGTGGCAAAATTAGGGCTACATTGATTTATTGATGTTCAAAATATAATAATATTCTTCATTTACTCTGATGAAAATCAACTTCTCAACTTGAGGGCTTCATTGGGCATTCACGGGGATTGTTTTGATTTAGAGCAATAAGCAGAGACCTGGCCCCTAAGCATCAAAAGGGTTAAAATCAGCTGTTAGCCCACCTACTGGCTTTTGTTTTATTTTATTTCATTGTACTTTATGGGAAGGAATGACCCCCATTTCTAGTGTGTCACTAATGCTAAAAAGTCATGTGATCCAAGCCTCAAGATTCAGAAGAACAAGGAGGTCTGAGGCTGAACTGACTCTGTTATTTACTGGCTTGTGACTTTGGGGCAGTCTTTTAATTTCTCTGAGGCTTAAAATTCCTATCTGTAAAATGAGCATAAGAACAATACCTTTAAAGAATTGTTGTGAGGTCCAAATGACAGAAGTATATAAAAGCCCTCTGTAAACTATCAGGGCCAACATATGAGTTTTCATTACTACCGAGTGTGATTAATTATGGAGAGTAATGACTAATCACATTACATGCCCAGAATGGCTTTCATAGGGAGGTCTGAATTCAGACCTTACCCCAGGCCCAAAGGAGGAGGCTCTGGTTAGAGAGGCAAGAGTGACTGGTCCACCAGCAGGAAGGCCACAAGTTAAGTGCTAATTGCTCTGAAAGCCAAGGGCAGCTAGTTCATGCAGCTGAGTGGGTGGGCATCCGCCTTGTTCTAGAGCTTTCTGGAACCCCACAACCCGTTTCTACATACCTTGTTCTGGTCACTCCTAAACTGGTCCTCCTGGCAGGGGCACCAGCAAACTATATATTCCCTCTTTGTGGGAAGGGGAAAAGGGCAGGGGTTTCAAATCAAGATCCAATTTTCTTACCCAGCAAAACAAACTCTCTGCTCTCAGAAAAGCCAAGATGAAGAGAGAGAGGGCTGAACTGTTTCCCAGGCCAGCAGCTTGGCCTCTCAACTCCACCCTCCTCTCAACTGCCCCACTCCCTTCTTTCCCTTCCCTCCAAGGGTGGCTCTGTTCCCACAGCCAAGAGCGGGCCCCAGGCACCCCCAGTAAAATGAGGAGAGCTCTCCCCACCCAGCCAGCATGTAGGGACTTGACAGGGTGAGTCCAACCCCCCAAACTCTCTGCAATCTGTGACCTAACCAGGCTTAGGCCCAGCTTGTGAGGTTGGGGGGGGCAGGTGAGGTGCTTTAACCCCTGCACCACCCAGCCCTCAGGACTTGCTTGTGAAATTCACACAATAACTCTTTGTTACCTAGGATTACCTAGGAGTTAACAAAAACAAACAACTGGCTTTGAGTTTGGTCTCAGGATGCATGCCCTGCTCTTCAGATACCATTCATGAGATGGCTAAGTCTAGTTTCTCTCCCATTGAAAAAAACAGTTCTCTTTAGAGCCTGAACTCTTGCATCTTGCTCTTGGTCATTCTCTTCCCATGACCCTTTCCCTTTTATTTCTCTCCACGGTAGGTTATTTTTCATTTACTTTCGAAATAAAAATTAGATGTCATACTTCTTTTCTTCTTGAACCTGCTTTTTTCGTGTTTGGGGTGGAATCACCTCCTCCCCCAACATTTTAGCCATGCATGATTCATACCATGTGTTCCTCCTTAGAGGAGCAAACTGTATTACTTTCTAAAACAACATCTTTTAAAAGACATTTGTATAAATGTATACTTTTAAATTTCATAAAAAGGTTCCTATTATGAACGCTGACTTGAACAAGGAAATGGTGGTGGTGATGGTGGTGGTGGTGGTGGTGGTAGTGGTGCTAACAGTGACAGTGGAACCATCACATTTTAACTAGGATGCTGTGCATTTTTCTCTAAAACTGGGAGAAAAATAAATAGAAATGATGTGTGTATGCATATATATGCACATCTATAATGGACCATGTATATCTAAGATATACCATGTTCAAATACACATGTAAATGCATAAAGAACAGGCATTAGAATAACTCTGGAGCGACCCTAAACTGACTCCTTTTGGTTCTGGCCTTGGCTAAGGATGCATGCCACGGACTAAATTCAGAATCCTAAATGAGGCCACAGGAGTGAATGTCCGGCCATAAAATGGGCTCTGAAGGCACAGACCCATCCGCCACTAGCCATGGAGCCAGACGAGACCCTGGGGAGAAGACCCTCAGGGATGAGCCTCTGTCATCTCCTCAGTGAAGAAAGGAAGAGATGGAGGGAGGATGTCCCTCTGGGGCTGAGTGGAGTAGGGAAGCGAGTGCCAAGTGAGTAATGGAATAATGCATATGCCAATCTATTTTGGAAGTAACTCCCTTCAGTACTTAAAAAGTAAGGGTAATTTCCAGCAACTCTCATCTCTACACACATGGACATTTGTAGAAGAAATAAGGCTCAACTTACAAATACCCTGCGGGGCATATTCTGCACTCATCCCGGGCGTGGGGATTAGAGCTCCGTGTGCAGAACGAGGGGAGGAGAGGCCCCTCCAGTGCAGAAGTTTATCTGTGAAAGAAATCCAAAATCAAGCAAGAAAGCCATAAACAATGTGCATTGTAAACCACAGGATATCACATTTCAATTCCATTAAAATAGATTAACATCATTACAACAGCCTTGCAGATACTTCACAGGCCCAAGGCCTGAAACAAAGGAACAGTGGTGAGTTATTTCCCACAGTTTTTGTTGTTTTTAATTTTGGTCTTTTTTGACAAAAGGGAAGGGGTTTGTTTTAGGTATGAGAAGGGGGGTCTTTGGTTCATTCGCTGGTTTATTTGTTGTTGTTTGATTGTTGTTTTGTGGTAAGAGACATGTGAACAGCAAGGGGAAAATAGGTAATATTGTGGGTGGGCTGGAAACATGGAGAGATTTATCTGCAAGGCTGGTTTACATACATACGTTCACTTTATAGACAAACCCAAGCAAAAAACATGCTGATACGAAATGAGTGGATTTGTGAACCATTTTTTATGGGGTAGAGTTTCATTCCGCTTTCCCCATCCCACTGCCTCCCTCTTCCCATGCTGTATTTATAATAGGACCTTCAATGATGCAAGAGGGAACCTTGGGCATTTCAGGACTTGGCCGGGTCACACTCCAGAATTCTGTCAATGGAAGACCCTGTTCAGGTGTGGCTTCTCACAGTACAAAACAGTGGAGGATGAAGATTAAACTTCTGGGATCATTCAATGACAAGAAAACAATCAGCCTCCAATAACAGTGGCACTCAGAAACTGTGGCCCACCTCCTTTGCCATTCTGTTGTACTTTGCTGCACTCTGGTGAGGAAAAGGGACTTCTCACACTAATAAACATGAATCTAGCAGTCAATTGAGCATTTCCAGCAAAAATCTTTTTTGAGAAAGGAAATATTTGGATTGTGCAACCTGTGGATTTTATGGTTTGTGTGGTAAGTTCCTGGCTTTTCCAAGTCCACCTTCAGCTAACTAACCGTGTAGAAGTCCACCTTGAGACAAGTGAAGGCTGGAGAGAGTAGGAGGAGCTCCTTGTGTTCTAGAGGCTTGGAGTTTGTGATGATTGGAGGAGGAAGGAGAGAAGAAAAACAGACTTTGAGGGTGAGTAAACAGAGTATGTTTTCCATTAGCTTAATATTAAGAGCACTTAGGAGTGTTGTTGTTATACTCTAGGATAGCAAGTCTCCCGTGTAAAATATATCCTGTTCTCCTTATATAGACATTGCCAGGCACAGCCAGGCAGTTGGGACAAGGTTTTCTTTCATGAGGAGCCTGGTGGGTAACAACGGCGCGTTGCTCTCACACAGCCGGCATAAATCCATTGTTACTGGGCCTGCAAAGGGAGGACCTGGTGGAGGTACCACCTAGTCTGAGATCATCTATAATAGCGTTTCCTCCTCTCTGATCCAAAACAAAATAAATGCCACAAAATGAACCAACAAAAGCAAGAAAACCAGACTTAACAAACAAGTACGTCTCCATTTGACTGTTTATGTTAAATAAATTGAGAGTATGGGGTAAAATTAACTACAGATTTAGTCACCGTATTTTTCTTTTTCTTTCTTTTTTTTTTTTTTTTTTGAGTTGGAGTCTCACTCCGTCATCCAGACTGGAGTGCAATGGCACACTCCAGGCCACCGCAGCCTCCACCTGTTGGGCTCCTGCGATTCTTCCACCTCAGCCTTCCAAGTAGCTGGAACTACAGGCGCGTGCTACCACGCCTGGCTAATTTTTTTTTTTTTTCCTTGATGTATTGTAGAGATGAGGTCTCGCCAAGTTGCCCGGGCGGGTCTCGAACCCGTGGGCTCAGACAATCCACCCACCTCGGTCTCCCAAACGACTGGGATTACAGGCTGAGCCACCAAGCCCGGCCTAGTCACAGTATTTTTCAGTGAGAAATCTGAGCATCTATTTTTGCACTTGTACTTGCCTCAACCACTTAATAAGTTTGTTTGCTGCCAAAACTGAAATCCTTTTCTTAGGACATCTACACAACTCAGGTATTTCTGTGACCCCAGCATAAAAGCAACAACGTTCTTAACTTGGACCCTTGCATACGGAGAGTCTAATTTCAAATTCCCTGCCGCTTACTCTGGGAAGAATACCCTAAAGTGCTTCACCAGGCCTCCAACAAGAAATGAGAGAACTGCTAACCTAATCCAGGCTTAGCCCCATACGTGTTGGCAAACCTGTCCACAAACCCATTAGCCCTAAACAAGCTGAGCTGCGGGAGCAGCAGCTGGACTAGTTCGATATAGCGCCGGACCACATGGCACAGTGAGGTCTTATCAACAAGCGGATCTGAGTTTCTGGTGTTGTGGTTTTTGGTTTTTTGAATTGCAAAAAACCTTAGAGACCATCAAGTCTATGTCTTCATTTCACAGATGGGAAAACTGGAGCCTGAGAAATTAAGTGACTTATCCAAGGCTATACTGACGGTTAACCGCAAAGTGAAGATAAGAATCAGTCTCCTGACCCCTGGTCCAGTGGTCTTTCCTGAAGCATCTGTCTCCTGCCCTTTGCTGTTCCTGCCTTGTCCTTCAATGCCCAAGAAGTGCCATTGAAGAGGGTTCTCTTTCTACTGACCTATTAACAAAGGTTAACAAGCTCTTGAGGGAGGATCCAGCCCAGCAGCGTTGAGTAGGGTTTTCAAAAGGTCCAAAGATACTGACTTGATCTCACAACTGGAAAACAAGGCCTTCCCTGCTGCCTGGACTCCTGGCCTCACCCCTGCTGTCTTCACCCTCTACCTCTTCTTCCCCTGCAGAATTAGCTAGTTGAAGAGAAACAAACCATTTAAATCAGTCTAACAAGCTATTTACTTTAAAAAATAATTTTAAAAAAGCTCATTGTCTTCGGATAAGAGAGACTCAAACATTTATCTTCTTCTAGGAAGAGGGTCAAAGCAAAGCCAATTGGGGACCCAGCTGATTCTGCTGCTTCTTCCACTAAACACGTCCATAATATTCTCCTTGGTAAGTAGAATCGACATTCCCACGTGAACTGGAAATGCTAAATTGTTAATAGCTTCCCTAGGGTTTAACTTCTTGCTATGATGCCTTCAATTATTTCATCACAGCTTAGGCAAAGTAAAGTATCACAATTAATGCTTCTGTGCATCAAACTCCAGGAGCAGCTCTGTCTTCCCAGGCTGAGGGGGAAAAAAAAAAGAGCTGTCCTTGATTGAGGGCCTCTTCTCTTCCCACCCTCACTTTCATTCTTCCCAAGGAGAGACAGAGACGGCTCTGGTTGCTAGCTGGGGAGCGGGTGATCTAGGTAAGTCCTCTTTATTTCTCTGTTGGTGCTTTGGAAAGTGATTCTCAAACTGCAGACCCAGGCCCACCCACCATCAGCATCACCTGGGAGCTTGTTGGGAAATGGAAATTATTGGGCACCACCTCAGATTTACTGATCAGAAAGTGAGGGCAGGGAAGGGAAGCAGCAATCTGTGTTGAATAAGCCTTGCAGGAGATTCTGACGCACAATCAGTAAGCACTACTGTCTTTGGGTAAGGGAAGGAAAGAAAGCTAAGCTTTGATGTTCCCTGCACAGAGACCTATGGGCCATAAGGCAGTCGACCCTGTGTCCAGGCCCATGTCCTTTAAGACTGGAACAGTCAAAAACAGATTAAGGGAGGAGGGTAGCTGGGATTGACAGTAGTCGATATCCACCTGGGGAAGGGGGCACACCTCATCAATAAGGGTACCTGCACAATGAACATTTGTATACCTAACCCTGAATTGTACCCCACAATTTCAAAATAAAAATTAAAAGAGAAAAAAGACAGATTAAGTTTGGGGAATCCCTAAGGGTTCCTCCATTAGGAAATCGAGGTTCCACCCTCCATCCATCATTGGCCATGACAGGGAACATGCCCAAGCTCTCCATCAAGTAGGGAGCCTTCTGAGCATAAGACAACACTCAAACCAACTTATGCCAGACAGATGGGGTCCTGACTGCTTCTGTAAAAGTGGCAGTGTTTGAGAATGCAGTCGTGGCATGCTGCACAGAGGAAGAACTGGACTCTTGTTTCCCTTTCTGGACTCTCATGTGACGTTTCCCACTTCAGAATCAATCTGTTTGCAAACGCCTTGCACTCCTCTGGTGGAAGGTGTTTCAACCTGTTCTATTTCATAAAGGACTCTCTAGGTCCAGCATTGCCACTGGGGCCTCAGAAATGCCTTATGCATTATTAGGGTACAAAGATTCCTCATAGGTGAATAAACAGTCTTATTCTTCAGGTCTAATTAAAAACCTCTAACAAACTGGGAATTATTTTGATTTAATGTTACACATTTGATCACTTTACATTTCTATTTACACTGGGTACCAACTTTTGACACAGAGCTCTAAACCCAGAGGGATGTCCCTGGAATTTAAGGTTATTAAATCAAGTTTTCAGTTTTCTCAAGAACATCTCAAAGATTCCTTAACTATTAACATGCTATTTGTTTCTGAAACTAATCACTGGACGTGTATTACAGCCATATAACTCTCTACTAATCAACAGGTAATATTGTGAATTTCCAACTGTGCCAAAACAGCTAAGCAACATCATTCCAATACACTTAATGGCTGCTTCGGGAACCCAAATGTTACCAGGTATTAAATTCCAGGCCTTCTATGGGAGTACATAGATGTGTACTCTGTGTGTATGTATTTTTTTCTTAAACAAATATTTTACAATAGTTTTCATGGTTTTTTCAACAAGACAGGTATAAAAACATAAGAGCTGTCCCAAATGGAAAGGGCTATCTTTTGAAGCTGTGACCTCGCTTTCACCCTGGGTCTTCAAGAAGAGAATGGATGACAACCTACCATGATGAGGAGGAATCTCTATGTTGGTGATGGGCCAAAATAAAGGACTCCTACAGTCCTTTCCAGGTCCACAATGCTCAGATCCTCCCTCTTGCCCACATAGCCACCTTCTAGACTACACTTAAAATGCATCCTGAACATTTGTTGAGTTTGCTGAAGGAACCAATTCCAGTTCTGAATCCAATGATTGGATTCAAGCCACATAAACAACAAC